CACCCTTTTCTCCCAGAGAGCAATCCCAGTGCTGGGGGCAGGTGGGGAGAAAGGTGCCTCCCCAAGGGAAATTGTTTCAGGAAAGAGACATGGGGATTCAGGGTGTGTAATCTCTAATTCTTCATGCATTAGCATACCAAGCATGCACAGCCCCAGCCCTCCCCCTCTTCACATCCCTACAGTCTGTTCACCCTTCTGTCTGTGCAGGATTTAGGGATTGCTTACTTCCCCACTGAAATGCTTGTAATGGTTGTAGTGAAATATGCTGTTACAGGAATGCAGTGTGGTGTCTGCCAAAGTCTTTCTTTCCTTATATATATTGGAAGATCCACTAAAAACTAAAGCATAAAATCCACTGAGGAATGTATGTGATTTGATTAGACGGTAGTAATTTCTCATCCTAAGTGCCTAAGCCATGACACGGACCAGCCTGTTATTCTGACTGCATTTTGGGTCATGGGGCAGAGGGAGAAAAACAGACGTTTAGTGATAATCACTGAGGAGTTTCAGGAGCAAGACTGGGAGAGTGGAGAGCCTTGGTCAGAGCTGGTCAGAGTAATGGCCAAACTTGTGCTTAGGATCCTGATGTGGGTACTCTGCATTGCCATATGGAAAGCTGTGTGCTGTAGTGGTAGCTCAGTGCTGTGATTTATGTGACGGAACAACCCCCGAGAAGCCAGTGTCTGTGTTGTAGCGTATGGTGTGTTGCGCTGATGAAAGTGCAAGGGTTCCCTGGCAGCGCTGAAACCCCCTCTGCTAATTTTGTGTATGTGTGGTATATGTGCAAATGGGACTATATATGCAAATATTCACACAAAGGTCTAGTATAACCTTGTGTCTCCTTTTAAACACTAACCAACCTGAGTAGCTTTTACTTAGGTGATGCACAGATGTGGGCTTAGCAAGTATCTTCCTTACTACCTATAGACATCGATGAGTCTCCCCCTTATGCATCAATCAATGACGGGGAACTGGAGACAAGTCAGTGGCCTAAACAAGGATTACAGCAATGCAAGGATTACAGCAGATCTCAGCCAGAACACCAGTTTAAAAATAGTCATGTTGCTGCACATACGAGAAATCCATACTGAAACATGTAAACAGTAGTATTATATGCAAGGCGAGTGGCCTTACATCTGCTCAACAATGGTCAGGTCTCTGCTGAAGGATCATGGTGAGTCCAGACCATTACAACTCAAGGAAGTTGTGGACCTCTCAGAGAGAATCCCAGTGACAGCAGCAACAGTGATCACTGTGGTGAAAAACATCACTTAAAAGAAAATTTTACAAGAATGGGGTTGGTTTTGTCTAGGGGAAAAAAGGAAGAAGGAAGGATAAGTCTTCAAATAGTAAGTCTTCAGGTTCTGCAGGAGGAAGTAAGGGATAAAAGATTAGTGTCTTAAAAAGGAGAGAGACTTAGGTTGGACATTGGGAAAACTTTCCAAGATTGTTAAGGTACCAATTGCCCAAGGAGTTTCCTCATCTGTGGAAGATACAAGAAGGTTATGTAGTATGTGCACACAACACCAGAGGTAGAGCTGATCCTGCCTTAGGAAAGAGAGACAGATTATGTGATGTCTTGAAGTCCTTCCAACACAACTTTCTGTTATTCTATGAAAAATGCTTAAAATCTACCTTGATCATGTACTTCTCGTGAATCATTAATAGGTACGGCTACCAAGCTAGGCATGTCTACTATTGCATGATTTAAAATTACAAAAACCTCCTTGTTTTATTATCAGCAAACAGAAACAGAAACTAAAATAGGTCACCAAAAAGATCTCCAGGACCTAGAGAACACTGATGGGAGAAACTGAGAGTAGCTTAACATTTAGTCCGAATAATCTTGACAGATTTATGAATCTGAATACCTGAAATAGGCATTTTTAACAGAACTGTCCTCAAAGTATCTCTGCGCATCCTCTCAGATCTGGGCCTCACAGAGGTATGAAATATTTCTACTCCCACAGTCTGTATTATGTTATTCTTCAAGATGAATTGTGTCACGTTTGTCACACGTGGTTCGCTCTTACCCTAAATGTTTTTCCAGCCACTGGCACCATTGCAAAGCAAGTATAAAACACCATCAGGCTAATGCAATTGATGAGTCCTAATGCAAATGACTCTGCAAGGCCATGGTGAGCTGGGGTCTTCTGTTTTATGCATAGTTACCTGTCACTCTATCTGCATGTGCTGCTTTCAAAGACCTTTTTGTCTGCAAGGTAAACTCAGGCTGGAGATGATCTCAGACTTGAAATCCCAGCCAAGGGAAGTCATCAGGCTACAAAACCCACAAAGTTAAAAATACAGGGAGCACTGGAAAATCAACAGGAAACAATTTCTGCTGACTGAAGTTTCTTCCAAACGCCAGCTAGCAGCGGCTTGTCAGATGGGACAAAGCAGTTACATGAAAGCAGAAGTGGTCCTTAACTTGGTCCATTAAAGCAGGAATGAATGCCAGGAAAAGATTAGGATTGTCACTCAGCTGTGATAGTATATCTGGATGTTTTAGGGGCAAGGTAGCTGAGTCCTCCAAGCCTCTCTTCATTCCTCCTTCTTTGCCAGGGTGCCTTGGACAATGGTTGCCAAAGGGGATTTCTCCCTTTCTTCTGGTTCTTGACATAAGCAGGCTTGAAATTGGTCCTGGCAGTTTGGTATGAAGTATTTACCAGCTCAAGGGATTCCCAGGCCTGTTTGGATGTCAGATGTCTGAACACAGCTTTGTTTGGTCTGTCTGCCTCAGGGCAACGCCTGTCAGACCGACTTACTTACTTTGTGAGTGCCAGCCATCAAATTAAGATTGTCCATTTTCACCCCCAGCAAAGCAAGGTGTTAAGCTCTTTAGTACAAAACCATTTTGGAAAAAATTACAGAAGAAAAGCATAAAGAACATGTAAATACAGAGTAAAACTTCCCTCTCTTGCTCTCGTGTTCACATCAGACGATGTATCCCTCAGCTGCAGAAGCTGAAGGTCCAGCTCAGTAACATCCTGCTTTCAGAGTGGGGCATCTCTAAGACATATGCACAGAGGTAGGAAAACCATCCTTTCATCTCCTCATTCCATAGAGCCTCTCAAGCTCACATGGAAGCTTGTCTTGACCCACTGGGGAGCTCAGTAATGGTACCCAGAGCATCTGCTCTTGCTGAATTTGTTCAGGGTGGACTCTCCACTCCCTACATCTATTGAGATTTTTTCGATGTATAAATGCGGGTGCCTTTTAGAGGTACATATTTTCTTATCTCATCTCTGATCCAATATGATCACTGCTGAAGTATGGCTGTGGCCAAGGCAGCACTCATAAAAAAGCCCAGTCAGTCACCTGAACCACTGCCATTTTGTGTGTGTATGTATGTGTTTGAAGTAAGATTTATTTCTTGGCAACAGGAATTTTCCCCCTCCTTTCATTGTAATTGGGAGTTATAATGATGTAAGATCATGTAAGGGTGTTGCTTTGAGAAGTTTACACAGGGCCGCAGACATGAAACCTTATTACATCACCAGGTCACCAGTCCACGGTCATTGCATTAAAATTATGTGGATTTTTAAAAAAAGAAGTTGGAAGTGATTTTTTCATTTGTTGTCTGGCCTCTGAGCCTTTACAGGTGCACTCGTTCTCCATTGGCAAGCTTTTTCCATGTGTTCATTAGGACAAAATACGCTTTTTTTTCATTTGGGGTTGGGTTTTTTTTCTGTATAAAAGTTGTTTCTGGCACTATGTTTTGGTTCCATCTAGAAAAAGTATCAGAAGAACACTAAATAGTACAAAGATGTAAATAAAATCATAAGCATTAGCAACACCATCTGAGTGCTCTGATATTAGGTTAAAAGATGATTTTACTGCTGCCCAGTCTCCATCATAAGAAGTCTGGAAGAAATGACTTAACAGGAAGGGAAAAAAATGCTTTTCAAAGGGAGAAGGTTAAATTTTTTAACTCAAAGAATGAAACCTGATTGTTTATGTTTATATACACAGGCACCAATTTAATACAGGATTCTGAATTTGTATAGGTATGTTTGCATGGTGCTGGGAAGGGAGAACTTACATGGGCACAATAATAAGCTATTCTAGTTTAAGGTCTACTCATTTGCTCATAAAGACCAGAGTTAAGATTTGGAGCCCAAGACGAGCACTGATCAGCTAATCCTGCCATCCTCCTCCTACTGAGAGTGGCCTGAGACCACCGAGTCCTGCTGGCATTCCTGTCGGAGGGGCAGCAGAGCCAGCGGCTGTGGGGGAGGATTATCACACCTCTCGCCCAGTTAATCGCCCTGATTTGTGTCTTAACCTTCACTGACACCCACTGCAGTCATAATCGCCCCCGTGCACATTGCCTTTTGCTCCCCGTAGCTTAAATATTCCTTGCCAACCTTTCCAGCCTTGTAAGTCACACCTCTTTTAAAATAAAAAGTGTTTTAATAATTGAGCAGTACTGTTAATAACCTACCCAGCTTTGCTAACTCTTTAATAGTTAAAATCTTAATAAGTAAACCGCATCAGGTGGGTTTCTCTGCTTATCACCTTCGTGCAGCATAATGAGGCTTTTTAGCTATTAAGGGAGGTTTAAATCTTTTGTATTAGGTTTATAGCCGGCCAGTGGTACAACAGCCAACTCAGACATAATTCTAAATAGATGTTTCCAAGTGGAAACTTGGAATTTGCATTCAAATGACCTTACCTCTTTTTATTATTATTATTCTTTCCTGTATGCGTTTTTCAGCTTGTTCATTCTTAATTCCTTCAGTACTTATTACTGCAATAAGCCTAATCCTGTATACTTGTACACCCCAAGTGTGGGAGCTGTAAATACTTCTACAGTCTCTCCAGGGCAAGTCAGCTGTAACTGGATCTCCCATTGCCTCACAGAAGAAGAAAAAAGAAAAAGACAAAAAAAAAAAAAGCAAAGGCACATTCCAGCCAAAGACAATTCCATGTCTGGGTCCACGTGTTTATGTCTCTGCTGCCCTTGAGTAATGCTCTGTCCTTTTTCTTTGCTCCAGGCTGAGTTCTCCGAGCTGAACCTGGCTGCTTACGTCACAGGTGGCTGCATGGTGGACATGCAGGTCATGAGGAATGGCACCAAGGTGGTAAGGTAAGGAGCACCAGTTTTCTTGAAAATCGGGCTTTCTGGAGCAATGTCGGGCAAGCAGGATGACCTCAGGGGTCTAACTGGTATCTGGACTAGGGCAGCACAGCCCCAATGACTTCAAGGTTTCCTGAAAGCAGTGGAAAGACTGACCTGACTCTGGTGGTTTTGTATCAGGTCTCAGTTGCACATTATGCCATACAGTCATTGTTTCCAGTCTAGACCCTTCACGCAACCACAAATACATACTTTTCAGGTTCTTTTAGCCTCAGGCCTCCCAGTAAAATGGACAATGGATCTTCCTTTCCCTTGATTTTTTTTCTCACAGAATCATAGAATGGTTAGAGTTGGAAGGGGTCTTAAAGATCATGTAGTTCCAACCCTCCTGCCATGGGCAGGGACACCTCCACCAGACCAGGTTGCTCAAAGTCCAATCCAGCCTGGCCTTGAACACTTCCAGGGATCGGGCATCCACAACTTCTCTGGGCAAGCTCTTCCAGTGTCTCACCACCCTCCTTCTGTGTCAATGAACCTTCATTGTAAATAGTGCCTTGCTTTCATTAGCTTCTCTCTATTAGGTCCTGATCCCAGTAGATCTACCCTTGTAATAGCCACATCATCCTGATCCTTGCAGCCTGATTTTCACCTGCAATATCACCTTTTTTTGCCAGAGATTCCCAGTGCTCCAGCCTTGCCCTGTAGTATAGCTGAGAGGTAATACTATATCTCCTTCTGATGGGGATTTCTGTCCCTACTAGCAATTGCTTCATAATTGCAGTCATTGCAAGCAGACTCTTTTCTTGAGCAATGATTCCCCAGTCACACACCCAACTCACTTGCCAAAAGCATTGCTCTCCTTCTTTCTGACACCAGAATGCCTACAATTTGCAGTTAATGTTTGATGCATTCTTATTGGTGCTATATAAAGAGCAGTGTACGTTGTCACATCTGTGTATGACAGCAAAATGCCTCTGTTTATGTAGCCCTAATATTACCTTTCATCATTTTATTCCCAAGTCTAAATCTTTATGAGTTTCTGTCATTATAACTTCTAACTCTACATTTCATCTTTGGTACAATAGCTTTTCTTTGTTCGTGTTGAGATCTCATTGTTACTCCCAAACCATTTTTCTAGCCTCCTTACTTCTTTCTGGACAATTCTTTTGCCCTTTTTAGTGTATACAGCATGTCTCAGTTTAATATTGTTCATACATTTAATCAATGCTTTTGTCTGTTTGCTTCTAGTTCAGAAATAGACATAGGGACACATAATATAGCATGCAGAGATATTTTTGAAAGGGATTATTAGAACAGCTGAAAAACAGTGATTCTGAGCATGCTTTCCTCAGTTTAATTTCTCAAGATGTCATTTCCAGTCCAAACAGTGCAAAGCAACACTTGTCACTGTCAATTAGCTATGACTGTGGTCCATCAATTTATTTCAGGTCTCGACAGCTCTTAGTACGTTCACAAATCTCCATTCATTCTTTGGTACAATTTCACAAGCCTCTGCTAAAAACTTTTAAGGTTGAGTCTGTTACATCCATTTGCTTTCTCTCATCCCACAAATGTCTGTTTCTCAGTGAAACAAAGCGTATCTCCTGTGAACCAGCCACTGGAGCATCCATCAGACAGTGTGCCGTGCTAATGCGCTCTTGTGTTCACTTGCTCACGATGCTGGAAGGTTTCCCAAGAACCATTTCCTAGGTTGATCACATCTTCATTTTCCTTCCCCTGCCATTCCTCCCAAAGCCATTCATACATCTGGCAGAAAGATCTTGAGCTATTAAACTGAAACTGAAGACAAAATTTATTTCACAAGAGTGTCTGGGGCATGGTGTTCATGTTTCTGCTCGCAGTTAATACACAGGTATCGCAGCTAGGCTTTTTGCGTGGATATTTATATATGAAAATGCATGTTTTTATGAATGGCATTCATTCAGGCTTTTTGTTTTCATCTATGCATGTTTAAGGACACATGCATTTGTGTGGTGGGAAGTGAATTTAGCAAATGCGTACTTGTCTGGATACCCAATTTATATGGCCTGTGTTGTCCATGGTTTATTATAGTCCTTACAGACACTGGCCATTTGTTTACAGCCTGTGCTGATGTGTCCCTGTCCTGCCCAGCTCAGCAAGTTTAAGAGCTCAGACCAGCCAGCTTCCACAGTTACTCCTACTAATACTTTAGAAGTTACAGAAATAAAAAACCCTTCTTCACTTTAGAAGGCGAATTACGGAGCATACTGCTCCTGAGCTGTGTGGAGGCCCCTCAGCCCACCTACGTGGGTGCAACTTGCTTCCCACTCCCTCCCTCCCCCCATCTCACTCATGTGGTCCTGCCTGGCCACAGACTCCCCTCGGGGTGCCCAGCATCTGCCACCTTTGACTCATGTGTATACCAACCCTGCTGCTGCTGACATCTTTTTTCCATCACTTATTAGGCCTCTGTTAATTATTGAGCGAAATATTTAGTCACAAGCCAGAATGTTTCTAGATGGTGAGATATACTCCTCATGGTTTTTGCATACTCCTTGCAAAGTCCTTGGAAATCCTACTGACAAGTTATAGGAAGGAAATATGACAGCATCTTGCTAACAGGCACATTTGGGATTCCCCCTTGCTGGAGCCCTGTCTTCTTCACACTCCTTTTCAAAGCGAAGGCAACAGAGTGTGGCAGTTTGGTTGAAAGACAATGAATATGCCACAGACCAGTGGATTTTAAATCAATGAAATAATGGATGTTTGTAAAGACAGCACCACCACCAATATTAATAACAACAACAACAAAGCAACCAGTGGGCTATTCTCTCCAGTTTGAAATTATGTTAACTGATACACTATCTAACAATTTATTTGCCTATTAAATTCTGCCATTTTGCTGCAGTTCTCCTAGTTCTCTCTTTAAACTGGGGACATCCTATTGCACATTTAAATCAAAGCTCTTTGCTGATCCCTTGATCCTTTCTGACATCTTGGAGTTAAGGCATTCTTTCAGACCCTGTGCCAACTGATTTGAACTGCACCAGGAAAGAATTGTGGTTCTTTTACCTGGAAGACAAATGCCCTAATAAGAAGGTATAACAGTCCTTGAAGCTCTGCACTTACCACTTGCCTCAGGCAAATTTAAAAAAGAAAGGGAGCTTTAGAAGCATTAAGGTCAATTAAAGAGAGCAAGGAACTGGAAATACACAGACCTCCATGACTCGTAGTCTGTGTATCTTGAAACAAGTATCTACAAGTAAGTTAGCAAACAACATAACTGAAGCCAGGCGTTACTTTGCTTGCCTGATCTTTAAAACAAGTGTGGCTCCCAGAATTTAATTTTTCAGTAACAAAATTCTGGGTCTCCACCTCCTCTTTTTTAGCTACAACGTTCTGCACATCTGTATGATGGGGTGAGCGATTTTATAGTCTCAGCGAAATGTGCCACTTGAGAGAGACTATCATCTAACAAATCTAAAAAACTGCATGTGTTTTTTCTGTGCCCATTCCACCATGGTATACGATGTCCCCGTCAGCCCATTCAGCACATTTTCTTCAGAGAAAGAAGAAAAAAAGCTGGCCACGAAGTATCTTGTGCAGACTCTAGCAAGCACTTTCCTATTCCAGTGCCCTGTGACACGTGTCTTGACTGAGGACGGTGCAGGGGGATGATCTGGGCACTAGGAGCAGCTTTGGGCTCAGTCACGGCTGGGAACCTCCCACACATTGGTCCTTGTTACCCCAGCACTTCTTTGGCTAAAATTGGCACTGGAGCTTCCCCAGTGAAAAGCTAAATATGGGAAGGAGGAGGTGGCACTTGTTAATACCAAAGGATCCCTTACCAACTTAGGCATAGCAACCCCTTCAACAGAGAGATGGAGTCATTTCTGGGTGCGATGGCTGAACTACTAGGCAGTGCAAAAAAACCAAGAGTGGGCTGATGCCTGCTTTTGAAACATTTTGATGGATTCTTCATCCCCCTTCCAGTGCATCCACGACTTCCTTTTGCAGAGGTCTACACACACATAGACAGTGTGAACTGTCTGGAGTCTAATTTACCTTAGAAAGCTCTTGAGATGTCTCACCTCTACTAGGGTTAGATGTAAGGAATGGGATTTCCATTTTCACTTGTCTTCATTTCTCTGAAGGGCCCTTCATACCAATGTTTCCACAGTGCAAAGACGCCGTCAGTGCTGGCACTGCACCCATTCTGAGGTGCATTTATGCTTCAGGATATTATAAAAGTGTCTTAGTATAAATGATAATTTGGGCTGTCTCTGCTTCTGACAACACTTAGACTCCCAAACTATGATCTCAGCCTCTGCATTAGATTAAATGCAGTCCTGTATTTGCCTTTTGGGCTTTACAAGCCTTCAGCTATTAATTCCAGTAGATGTGGGAATAAGGCAGGGATATGTTGAAAATCTGGACAGCTTTCTTACATGCAGAATACTAATGTCTTTGGGAGCATTTCAGACTTTTAAGGATATAAATTAATCATGCACCAGACTGCTCTCATCTCCTGTCTCCCTGTGGAGCTGGCTTTTTTGCCATTGGGGCTGATCATCCAAGGGAGAAAGTGCATTTTTGTGTGTCTGCATGGGACCTACCACAGTGGTGACCATACCACTTACAGTGTGCTGTGCAGACTCACTGTAATACCACAGTACAGCCAACGGCTGATGGGGATGAGGAGATGCCTAGGGTCTGAAATGGGGAGGACCCTGAGTGAAGCAATGGCCCTGGCAAGTGGTGACAAAACTGACAGCAAACTGGAGAGGAGCTGAGCGCTGTGGACAAAGCCTTGCTATGGGGAATGACCTTTGCCGTGGAGTGGTGTTTAGTCCTTGCCTGAATTCGGCTGGTCTGTGTAAGAAGGTGCATGTCTCACCCTGCTCGCCCTGGATGATATGCCCTTGTCACTCGCAGCTGTAGTGGGGTCAGTCAATGCTCCAATTCCTCCCTACAAGCCCATTCATTCCTTTAATTAACACTGACTTTTCCGTTCTTTCCAGCTGATT